TTTTTTTTTTGTTTGTTTGAGACAGAGTTTCCCTCTTGTTGCCCATGCTGGAGTGCAATGGGGCGATTTCGGCTCACTGCAACCTCCATCTCCCAGTTTCGAGCCATTCTCCTGTCTCAGCCTCCTGAGTAGCTGGGATTACAGGCACCCGCCACCACGCCCAACTAAATTTTGTATTTTTAGTAGAGATGTGGTTTCAGCATGTTAGCCAGGCTGGTCTTGAACTCCTGACCTCAGGTGATCCACCCACCTTGGCCTCCCAAAGTGCTGGGATTGTAGCCATGAGCCACCATGCCTGGCTGAGCTTCTTTTATATTCTAGTTATTAATCCCTTGTCAGATGGGTAGTTTGCAAATATTTTCTCCTATTTCTCTGGGTTGTCTTTTCACTTTTTTTATTGTTTCCTTTGCTGTGCAGAAGCTTTTTAACTTGATGTGATTCGATTTGTCCATTTTTACTTTGATTGCCTGTGCTTGTAGGGTATTACATAAGAAATCTTTGTCCAGACTGATATCCTGGTGAGTTTTTCCAGTTTTTTCTTTCAGTCATTTTACAATTTGAGGTCTTAAATTTTTGTCTTTCATCAATATATTGATTTGATTTTTGTGTATAGTGAGAGATAGGAGTCTAGTTTCATTCTTCTGGATATGGATATCCAGTTTCCAAGCACCATTTATTGAAGAAGCTGTCTTTTCTGCCATGTATGTTTTTGGCACCTTTGTCAAAAATGAGTTCACTGTAGGTGTGTGAATTTTTTTACTGGGTTCTCTGTTCTATTGGTCCATGTATCTGTTTTTATGCCAGTATTATGTTATTTTGTTTACTATAGCTCTGTAATATAATTTGAATTCTGTTAATGTGATTTCTCTAGTTTGGTTCTTTCCACTTGGGATAGCTTTGGTTATTCTGGTCTTTTGTGATTCCCTATAAATTTTAGGATTTTTTTTTTTTTTGTATCTTTGTAAAGAATGTCATTGGTATTTTGATAGGAATTACATTAAATCTGTAGATGGCTTTGGGTAGTGTGGACGTTTTAACAATTTTGATTCTTCCAATCTATAAATATGAAATATCTTTTCATTTTTTTGGTGTCCTCTTCAATTTCTTTCATCAGTATAGTGTAGTTTCTATTATAGAGATCTTTCACTTATTTGGCTAATTCCTAGGCATTTATTTATTTATTTATTTTGGTGGCTACTGTAAATGAGACTGCTTTTAAAATTTTTTTTTTAGTTTGTACACATTCCACATATAGAAATGTCACTTATTTTTTATGTTGATTTTGTATCCTGCAACTTTACAGAATTTATCAGTTCTTAATAGTATCAGTTCTGATAGTTTTTTGGTGGATTTTTTAGGTTTTTCCAAATATAAGATCTTATCACCTGCAAATAAGGATAATTTGACTTCTTCCTTAACAATTTGGGTGCCCTTTATATCTTTCTCTTGTCAAGCTAGGACTTCCAGTACTATGTTGAATAACAGTTGTGAAAGTGGGCATCTTTGTTGTGCTCCAGATTGTAAAAGACAGGCATTCAGTTTGCCCCCATTCAGTGTGATACTAGTTGTGGGGCTGTTGTATCTGGCTTTTATTATGTTGATGTATGTTTCTTCTACTCAGGTTGAGATTTTTATTATGAAAGGATGTTGAATTTTATCAAATGTTTTTTCAGCATTAATTGAAATGAACTTATGGTTTTTGTCCTTGATTTTATTGATATGATGTATCACTTTTTTTTTTTTTTCCAGAGATGGAGTTTCGCTCTTGTTACCCAGGCTGGAGTGCAATGGCGTGATCTTGGCTCACCGCAACCTCCGACTCCTGGGTTCAGGCAATTCTCCTGCCTCAGCCTCCTGAGTAGCTGGGACTACAGGCACGCACCGCCATGCCCAGCTAATTTTTTGTATTTTTAGTAGAGACGGGGTTTCACCATGTTGACCAGGATGGTCTTGATCTCTTGACCTCGTGATCCACCCGCCTCGGCCTCCCAAAGTGCTGGGATTACAGGCTTGAGCCACTGCGCCTGGCCTGATGTATCACTTTGATTGATTTATATGTGTTGAACCATTCTGACGTCCCAGGGATAAATCTCACTTGGTCATGATGAATAATCTTTTGTGTTGTTGAGTTCAATTTGGTAGTATTTTGTATGGATTTTTGTATGAATATTCATTAGGGACATTGGCCCATAGTTTTCTTTTTTTGATGCATCTTTTTATGTTTTTGGTATCAGAGTAACACTGGCCTTAAAGGATGAGTTTGTTTGTATTCCCCCTGCCTCTTTTTATTAGTAATAGTTTGAGTAGGATTGGTTTTAGTTCTTCTTTTAATGTTTGGTAGAATTCAACAGTGAAACCATTGGGTCATAGGCTTTTCTTTACTGTCAGACTTTTAATTGTGGCTTCAATTTCATTATTGTTATTGATCTGTTTGGATTTTGGATTTCTTCATTTCAGTCTTGTTTATGTTCAATCTTGGTAGGTTTTATGTGTCCAGGAATTTGTCCATTTCTTCTGCATCTTCCAATTTATTGGCATATAGTTGCTAATAGGCCACTAATGATTCTTCAGATTTCTGTGGTATCAGTTGTAGTGTCTCCTTTGTTATCTTTGATTTGTTTGGATCTTTTCTCTTTTTTTCTTAGTCTGGGTTAAGGTTTATCTGTTTTGTTTAACTTTTCCAACAACCAACTTTTTTATTCATCTTTATTTCAATTTCATGTATTTCTGCTCTCATCTTTATTATTTCTTTTCTTCTACTACTTTTGGGTTTGTTTTCCTCTTGCTATTTTAGTCCTTAAGATGCATTGTTAATTTGTTTACCTAAAGTTTTTCTTCCTTTTTTTTTTTACTGTAGGTACTTGTAGCTATAAACTTCGCTGTTAATATTGCTTTTGCTGTATTTTATAGGTTTTGGTATGCTGTATTTCCATCATCATTTGTTTCAAGAAATTTTTCTTGGTGAATTGATATCTTGATCATTATGTAGTGACCTTCTTTGTCTCTTCTTATAGTTTTTGTCTTGAAATCTATTTTGTCTGATATAAATATAGCTTCTCCTACTCTGTTTTGGTTTCCATTGGCATGGAGTATCTTTTTCCATTTCTTTATTTTCAATCTGTAGGTGTCTTTATAGGTGAAGCATTTTTCTTGTAGGCAGCAGATTAATGAGTCTTCTTTTTCTTATCCATTTAGCTATCCTGTGTTTTGCGATTGGAGAGTTTAGTCCATTTATACTCAGTGTTACTATTGACAAACAAAAACTTATTTCTGCCATTTTATAATTTGTTCTCTGGAGGTTTTGTGGTCTTCCCATATATCTTTCCTTCCTTCCTGTCTTCCTAGATGTTACAGCCTACTACACACCTTGTGTATATGGTATTGCCTATTGCTCCTAGGCTATAAGCCTGTACAGCATGTTACTGTACTAAATATTATAAGCAGTTGTAACACAGTGGTAAGTATTTGTGTACCTAAACATAGAAAAGATACAGTAAAAAAATATAGTATTAATTATCTTTATTTTTGGAGATAGTCTTACTCTGTTGCCCAGGCTGAAGGGCGTTGGCGCGATCTTGGCTCACTGCAACCTTTGCCTCCTTGTTCAAGCAACTCTCGTGCCTCAGCCTCCCAAGTGATAGCTGGGATTACAGGTGTGCACCACCGTGACTGGCTATTGTATTTTTAGTAGAGACGGGGTTTCACCATGTTGTCTAGGCTGATCTTGAACTCCTAGCCTCAAGAGATCCGCTGTCTTGGCCTCCCAAAGTGCTGGGATTATAGGCATAAGCCTTTGGGCCTGGCTGGGTATTTATAATTTTATGAGACCACTCATATATGCAATTCGTTGTTGACTAAAAGCGTCATTATGTGGTGCATGGCTTTACTTTGTATGACAAATTGCTAAGCATTCTAAAGGAGAGAAGAAAGTAACTTAGGTTTGATACCTTGTTTGAAATTATAATGTTTCATTCCCATTCCAAGACCATCCTTTTCTTATTCCTCTTTCTTTCCTTTAGAGCTAGGCTAGTAGGGAGCAGAATCATGAACTTAAATTAGTGGAATGTGTGGACATTGGATAGCATGGGGAGAAGTGTTTCAGCTTCTTTGTCTAAACTTTAACTTTCATCCTTTTTACTCAAAGTGGTGTTTCAGTCGCTTGCATCTGGTTCAAGAGGGTGTCTGATTCTTTGCAAAGCTATTCTATTGACAAAAAGCATTTACAGTGTTTTCCTGGTGGATTAATATTGGGTTGACATCTGTTTGCATGCTAAGTGCTGTATCATTGTTATCTTTTGGCATTTATTAACTAGCCTTGATATACTGTGCATTAGTTGGCATTTATACATGTCTTAGTCCCTGCTATAGAGGAAATACCCTAAAAGGAGTTAATTGTGGGAAACACAGCCTTTTCTCACATACCTAGCTGCCTGGGAGCTTTCCACTGAAGACTTTTGTGTAAGCATTGGAAAGTCTTTCTTCGAGTGATTAAGATAGGAAATGACAGTTGTGTAAAACAGGGCCTTAAAGACAACTGCCAGGTAGACTCATAGTGGCCCTACAAGAAATTGCCGACATAGATGTGATTTTCTCAAGAAGTTGGAAATCTCCTTATTAAAATTAATGCAGTGAAATTGTTCCATTCCCTGTAGAATATTAAAAAAAATCAAAAACAAAAACAAAACAAATCAAACAAACTTATCTTTTTAAGTGTTAACAAAACAACCATGAGATCTGTGGAGGAAGGAAAAAGGAAAAAACTTTATTTTCAGAGTAACAATCTGCAGATGAGGGAAAGTAACCTCTGGTGGAACTGTAAGGCACGTGCTTCACAGAAGGGAGTAAACAGTAGTATTTAAAAGCCTTTAGGGTTTGTTTTACATGTATATTCATCATGTAGTATGAATTGCCTGGGGAATACCTATGAATATATATGGGGAAGTCTAGTGCATGTGCAGTGAGTTAACATATAAGTAACATACATCCCATCTTCTCTTCAGGGCACAATTGAAGTGGAATTTGGCTCTTTATGTCAACAGGTGAGCTATACAGCACAAAGATATTTTGTATGCACTCTCTGCAAGCTGGCTGAAACTGGCTTAGGATCTGTAACCTTTTCCCAGGAAAGAATGTTTGTAAGGCTGGCCTCCTGTCCTGTCAGTGCTGCTGGCAGGACCCTCAAGGCAGGGTTATCCCATTTGTCTTATATCAGCAGTCCACCAAGGTCAGTTGGGCAGTGTTTCTGTAGAACAGATGTCTACCTAATAGATGAGGAAAACTTTATGGCAGTTAACATACCCTTTGGTAGTTAAAAATGTACATATGTATGACCAAACCCTTGTTCCTGCTATGGGCACTTAATTTTCTCTCTCGAGGGTCTTATCTTAGCCAAAGAAAGTCCATCTTACTGGATTAAAGATTTAAACGTAAGACCTAACATCATAAACACCCTAAAAAAAAACCTAGGCAATACCTTTCAGGACATAGGTATGGGCAAGGACTCCATGACTAAAATACCAAAAGCAATGGCAACAAAAGCCAAAATAGACAAATGAGATCTAATTAAACAAGAGCTTCTGCACAGCAAAGGAAACTATCATTAGAGTGAACCAGCAACCAATAGAATCAGAAAAAATTTTTTCAATCTCCTCATCTGGCAAAGGGCTAATATCCATAATCTACAAATAACTTAACAAATTTACGAAATAAAAACAAAAATCCCATCAAAAAGTGGGCGAAGGATATGAGTAGACACTTGTCAAAAGAAGAACAAACATATGCAGTCAACAAACAGGAAAAAAAATCATCATCACTGGTCATTAGAGAAATGCAAATCAAAACCACATTGAAATACCATCTCACGCCAGTTAGAATGGCAATCATTAAAAAAATCAGGTGACAGATGGTTGAGAGGATGTGGAGAAATAGGAATGCTTTTACACCGTTGGTGGGAATGTAAATTAGTTCAACCATTGTGGCAGACAGAGTGGTGATTCCTCAAGGATCTAGAACTAGAAATACCATTTGACCCAGCAATCCCATTACTAGGTATATACCCAAAGGATTACAAATCATCCTATTATAAAGACACATGCACATGTATGTTTATTGTGGCACTGTTCATAATAGCAAAGACTTGAATCCAACTCAAATGCTCATAAATGATAGACTGGATAAAGAAATTGTGGCAAGTATATACCACGGAATACTGTGCAGCTGCAAAAAAGGATGAGTTCCTATCCTTTGCAGGGACATGAATGAAGCTGGAAACCATCATTCTCATGAAGTGGTCACAAGAACAGAAAACCAAACACTGCATGTTCTCGTAAGTCGATGCCGAACAATGAGAACACGTGGACACAGGGAGGGAACATCACAACTGGGGCCTGTTGGGGGATGGGGGGCTAGGAGTGGGATAGCAGTGGGATGGGGGTCTAGGGGAGGGATAGCATTAGGAGAAATACCTAATTTAGATGATGGGGTGATGAATGTAGCAAACCACCAAAGCATGTGTATACCTATGTAACAATCCTTCACATTCTGCACATGTACCCCAGAACTTAAAGTATAATAATAAATAAGGTGAAAAAAAAAAGGAAGTCCATCTTATCTATCATTGTTGACACTTAGATCACAGCTAGTAGTGGTTAGAGGACAGAATCTATCAATGTATCAATAGTTTCTGTCTTGTCTTGGTTGCTGAGTAGGTATACAAAACTTAAGTCAAATCACTTTTTTACCTCAGTTTTCTCCTCTTCAAAATGGAGTTAATGCCTACCTTACAAATTAATGGTGAGAATTAAATGAGGAAATGTGTACAAAAATGTATTGTATGCCTGGTACCTGCTTGGCATGCAACTTTGTATTTTCCTCCTTCCTTTGGGCATCAGTAATATTGGATTTTACTCTTTGAATTCAGTGGTTACTCGTTGTGGAATCAAATTATTTTTTTTTTAAACCTCATTTTTCTCTAATATAAAATCAGTAGTACACATTTTATGAAGTAGTGATTGAAATTCAGTTCCTAGAGTAGTGTAGGAAATTTTTCTTGAATCTGAGTGTCAAATTGCTAAAAACTTGTATGAATTCGTGAGTTTTGCTGTGCAGATCTTTTGGACATGAAAATAATAGTTTTTTAAGGATTAAATAGGAGAAATATATTAAGGAAAAGTAAAACTCTAGAGTGTTTTTATGGGGAAAACTTTACAATAGCTTACTATATTACGGTTAATGTAATTTATTGGGATAACAGGGAAATTATGCATCCAAAGGATATTTTTACTTGAAATAGCACTTCTAGAAGGGGTATTCATAGAGCAGTAATTTAAGAAGTGAGACACTTGAACATAGCTTTTTCATTGCTTTTTTTTTTAAATCTTAGGTAACTTTAGATTTTACTAAGATTTCAGTATATAATGTTTTGTGGGTAGATACTGGAAAATAAATCTGAAAATTTTTCAGTTTAATAATTACCAAAGAGCTCTAAACCAATATTAAAGTTTAGTTGCAAAATTAAACTCAGGACTCATAAACGAATTATGTTAAATGAGTTAGGAGTTAAATCATATTGTTGAGTTTAATTATGTGTCAAATCAATATAATTTCTTTGACATAATCTCAGAATAGAAATCATTGTGTGGTACGTTGTATTGAAGGGTTATAGAGTGATGGACTAGTGAGTTAGTATTTTTAAGGTTGTTATAGTCCTATGAATTTCAATTATATTTGTTAAATGAAATCACTTTTATAAGCAGCAGCAAAATATCATTGCCATTGTATTTTGTAGCAGGTGAGTCAGCTTTTGTGTATACCCAGATACACAGCAAGACTTTATCTCTTAAAAAAGAAAAAAAGAAAGAAATTTCAGTTTATAATTTTATTTGACATGCTACTACAGCTCCTTATTTGACCCTGAAAATGTTGCACCAAGAATAGTCTTTGCATGCATAGTCTTTAACTCTGAGGAAAAGGATAAGAGAAAATAAAATCAAAACGTAGTTGCAAACCAGTAAGTTTAGACAATCTGCTGCCGAGAAAATGAAGTTGAATTTATGTGTAAATGTTAAGGGAAGACATATGGATATGTTGATTATAGCTATCTTTAAGTGTTTTTGTTATAGGCAAATGGTTTGCAGAGTTAGAGTAAATGCATTAAAAGTATTGCTGAAATTAAAATAAGTTTATTTTTCAAGTTTTTTTTTTTGTATTACGTTTGTTTTTTCAGGAAACCAGATACTTAAATATAAAACTGGGTATGTATTTTTATAACTATTAATAATTTAACTCTAAGGACTACTAGAAGTCTGATTTTACATTTAACATACAAAGTATTATTTGGACAAATGATTTTTAAAATAATATCATAGTAATATACATCCCAAATATGTGTTATGTGGTAAAATATACATAACAAAATTTACTATTTAATCATTTTTAAGTAAGCAGTTTAGTGGCATTAAGTACAGTTACATTGTTATGCAACCATCATCACTATGCCTCTCCAGAATGCTTTTATCATCCTGAAATGAAACTCTGTACCCATTACACAATAATTCACCATTACTCATTATCTCTCCCAATCACTATTCTATGTTTTCTCTATGATTTTGACTAAGTATCTCATATGAGTGGAACCACACAAAATATGTCCTTCTAGGACTGGCTTATTGCATTTAGCATAATGTCTTCAAGGTTCATCCATATTGTAGCATGTATCAGAATTTCAGTTCTATTTCAGGCGGATTAATATTCCATTATATGTATATGCCACATTTTACTTATCCATTTATCTATCAGTGGACATTTATATTGTTTCTACTTTTTGGCTATTGTGAATAATTCTGTCTTGAACATTGGTATGCAAGTATCTGTTTGACTGTGGTAATATCTTTTTCTATATATTTTAACAGAATTTTGTTAATTTAAATGTTTTTACTTAAATGAGCTAGATAAATATCTGAGTATTTAGTGTTATCAGTTAATATTTATGGAATACTTTGTGTATCATAAGTATTGTGGGGTTATAAAGAGTTACAATATCATGAAACTATTGTTTTAAAGAATTTGCAGTCTAATAACAGTAATAGGGTATGTTTATAAAGACACACAGAGCCTGGTAGCGTACACTTTTTGAGGCTGAGAAGATATCTAAGGTCTGATGCAAACCAGCATCCTCTCTTGCCAAGATTTTTGTCTGTTATCCTGAACAGAGTACATGGCCATAATCAATATATGCATATTTCTTTCAAGCATAGCATTTAACCTTCCAGGATGAATTTTGGGTTGATTATATCAGCATGGAAATGAGATCATGACATTCTTTAAACTGTCTTCTCTATGGATCTTATCTTTAGGTGATTTATATTCCTTCTCTCAAACTGTCACCTTAACTCTGACCTTATCTCCTATCCCCACTCCCACCTTGAACTGGGTAGTTTTTTCTTGTGGATACATTTCTTATGTATGTAAACTAGCTTAAGTGTAAATGAGGTAAAAGACATAAGAAGGAGCTACATACATGTTTCAAGGTTCTTTCCAGCTTTGTGATTCTAATTTAATCCCTCTGGTACCTATGTGTTGCCAGTGAAAGAAAACAGAATCAGCATGCTTAGAGGTTTCACAGCAGATCTGCTTTGTGGTGATTTTAAAGGCTAAAACTTTGATATAAAAACATTTTGTTATGTTTCAGTGGTCTCTTTTTTCTCCTTTTTCAGAATAGTTTCCCTGGAAAAGCAAAATAAATCTTTTATGAATTCAGTCATAACTTTGCAGTTTAATTGGACTTTTAGGGTTCTTCTGGATGAGCAAGCTGGACCTTTTGAAGTTTAACACTGGAATGCTAGCATGAGAGTGTTACTACTCTTAATTTCCACAGAGTTAGACTAAAAGAAAACATATTTAGATTCATATTTTCTTTGAATGAGATTTTGAAGCTCAAGATGAACTTTAAAAAATGCAGCTAAGCAGAGCTTCTAAAAGGTAATACTGTAGTATTATTTTTTTCCTCCATATTAATCTACTTGGCTTCTCATAGTGAGCTTGAATTGTGAGTGGTAAAGACTCATTACTTGTAGGGTGTCCTGGCACGCAAAATAAAACTTCTTTCTCCTAGCCTTCAGCCTGTGAGTGTGATGAATTCTGTAAACCTCTTAAGAGCAGGGACTATGGCTTCGTTTTTATTTATTTTACTTTTCTATATCTATCTATCTATCTATCTATCTATCTATCTATCTGTCTGTCTGTCTGTCTGTCTGTCTGTCTGTCTGTCTGTCTGTCTATCTATCTATCTATCTATCTATCTATCTATCTATCTATCTATCTATCTGACAGAGTGGTCTTGGCTCACTACAATCTGCCTCGTGGGTTCAAATGAATTTCGTGCCTCCACCATCTGAATAGTTGTGATTACAGGTACGCGCCACCATACCCAGCTTATTTTTTTTCTTTTTTTTTTTTTTGTAGAGATGGGGTTTTGCCATGGGCTTTTCTCAGACTTCTTGCGTCAAGTGATCTACCCACTACCTGCCTCAACCTCCTAAACTTCTGGGATAATAGGCATGAACTACTCTGCCTGGCTTGTGGTTTCATTTTTGTAAAACATTTAGTAGAGTTGGTGCCTTGCACATAATAAAATGTTTCTTCTAAGGTTATGAATCCACATAAAAATGAAAACTTAAAAAAGGAGATAATTGCAGAAGTAAAGAAAGGTGAATGAACAAAGATGGCCATCCATTCATTCAGCATATAAAAGATCTACTGTGTATCAGACACACCACTAAAAGTACTGGAAATATAGCAGTGATAAATTAGTCTCATTTCCTACACTTAAGGAATTTAGGTTGTCTAGAATTGTGAATAGCATGTAATAGGCACTTAAAAATATTTGAATACATGAATGTTTGTTTTGTAGAGAATGATTTAGGGTATGGAACATTATAGTGAGGAAGTGGAGTTTCCCATCATATTAGAGATAATTCATTTAAAAAATGGAAACAAACTATTAATACAGAAAATAGTTAAGTTGGTTATGGTAATACAGTACAGAAGAGCCCTTAAAAATAATGAGATATATATTGGCTGACACAGAAAGATGCTCTAATTTACCTAATGTTGAATTAAACAAAGTAAGCTATTGAATACGATGTATGGAATGATTCCTTTAATGTAAGTTATTTATATTTCTATAAAATGTCACAAGATATTGTGGATAAATAACTATGAATGATTCTTATAGGAGGTAAATTTTTCACTGATCTTTGGTCTATTCTTTATGCACTTCTGTGATTGTTTTACCATGACCATTTGCTACTATTTAAAAATAACAAAACTACTTAAATATGTTTTCGAATAACTTTTTTTTTTTTGAGATGGAGTTTTGCTCTTGTTACCCAGGCTGGAGTGCAATGGTGCGATGTCAGCTCACCGCAACCTTCACCTCCTGGTTTCGGGCAATTCTCCTCCTTCAGCCTCCTGAGTAGCTGGGACTACAGGCACGTGCCACCATGTCCAGATAATTTTTTGTATTTTTAGTAGAGACGGGGTTTCACCATGTCGACCAGGATGGTCTCAATCTCTTGACCTCATGATCCACCCACCTCGGCCTCCCAAAGTGCTGGGATTATAGGCATGAGCCACCGTATCCGGCCCGAATAACTTTTTTAAAACTTAATATCAGTATGTATAAATAGAGTTACTGATTGATGGTCCATTGTCCTGTAAATGTAAAACATGTCATTAAAGAATTCTACATTTTTTTCCCTAAAGAAATATAGTTAACCAGAATTAACTTTTAGCAGTCAATATTTACCTTTAATGTTTATTTATTTATTTATTTATATTTTTAAATATTTTTTTTTGAGACAGGGTCTTGCTCTTTCACCCAGGCTGGAGTGCAGTGGCATGATTTTGGCTCACTCCAGCCTCCACCTCCAAGGCTCAAGTGATCCTCCCACTTCAGCCTGCCAAGTAGCTGGGTCTACAGGTGTATACCACTACACATGGCTAATTTTTATAGAGGCTGGGTTTTGCCATGTTGCCCAGGCTGGTCTCAAACTCCTGGGCTCAAGCAATCTGCCTGCCTCAGCCTCTCAAAGTGCTGGAGTTACAGGCGGAAGTCACCATGCCCAGCCTACCTTTAACATTTACCTGTAACACTCTTAGTGTATAGTTTTAAAGTGAATAATAACATTTAAAAATGTGTAGTAGCAGGAATATGTTTAATAATTTAATTTTGTTTTGGAGGTACTTTGAGATATGTCTACATAATTAAGTGTCAAAGAACAAAATTTTTTTTAGCTTTTTTGTGTACTTAATTTGGATTTAGTTATTAATAAATATTAGGTTGAACTATGCTTTTACTCTAAAGATTTATTTTGGCACACTTCTTTGCTTATTATGACTTCTTATTTTCTTAATTAGAGGTGAGAAGACATGCTCTTTGGGTGTCCTGATTATATCTAGTCAGTAGTCTTAGTTTTCACAAGTTAGTAGGGAATATTAAATTATTACTGCCTCACTACTTTTTAAATTTATTTTAGTAACTTCTTTTTATCAGGAAAAATTAATGGACTAATCAGAATGTTCTATTCCATACATAGTTTGCTCGTAACAAACTCATTTTATTAGAAATGTTACAGCAACCTTATTTTTTTATCCTCCACAAGATCATTTTAGTGTAGTTATTGGAGTTTCAAACCATATACAGTTCGAAAACTGTTTATAGTTCTGTTTAGTAACATTTTAGATGATATTTTTTAAAAAGGTTAACATTGCTTTGTTAAAAGTTATCATTACTCTTTTAAAACAAAAATTTTATTTTTCAGACCACACAGTCCTTTGAATTCTGATGCATCAAGTTTCAAACAATTTTGTTTGCTTTTGGGGATACATACCTATAAAATCTCCAGAAATTATATATTTAGCTATAAAAATTTTCAGAAACTGTGAGCATGTGAAACACAGATACATGACTATAAACCTTAGAGGATAATTTTAGATTTCTTTCTCTTTTTTACTTTTTTATTTTGGAAAAAAAAAATCCTGTTCCAGTTTAATGACTATGATAATTTGATATCCAGGTAGAATAAGATATCTAATTTTTGTCCTCATTTTTTAAGCTGAGATAGTTTATAAAATGGAGAATAAATCATCTTGTTAGATGTTGACTCTCAACAGTATAAGAATATTAATCTTGTATAGTGATGCCATTCTATTTTAAATGCTTTATTATATGTTTAAATAATTTATAAGAAGG